AAAAAAAAAAAAAAAAAAAAGAAAAAAAAAGAAATAGCAGCAAGCGGCTTAGAAATAAAAAGCGGAGTTTCGTTTCTGTCCGGCGTTTCACACCGTACGACGGCACAAAGCCGACGGGGCAGCGGAGCTCCCGCAGCGCTTGGGGTCTGCTGAGAAACCTCGGATTTTAAGGGAAGGAAAGCGGGCTCCGGTGGGCGGATGGGTAAGAATTCCAAAAAAAATTCCCATTTGGCAAAGTCGAGTCCGAACGACGGCGACGGCGTCTGCGAAAGGTTTATTTTGGGGGAGGGGTGTTACTCCCCACGGCAGCACGTCTGTCCTCCTCCAGGCGAACCGGCTGAGGACGCGGACACTCCGGCCGGAGAGCAGCTCTGGGAGAGGGATCCGCGAGTCCCGGTGGGCAACAAGTTGCCCAGGGGCCAGCAACGTGCCCCGGTGGCCAAGAAGACCAATGGGGCGTATTGAGAAGAGCGTGGCCAGGGAGGTCATTCTCCCCCTCCGCTCTGCCCTGGGGTGGCCACATCTGGAGTATCGTGGCCAGTTCTGGGCTCGAAAGTCAAGGAATTACTGGAGAGAGTCCAGCGAAGGGCTACGGAGATGCTCAGGGGACTGGAGCATCTCTCTAGCGAGGAAATGCTGAGCCCTGGGAGTGTTCAGCCTGGAGAGGAGAAGGTTGAGAGGGGATCTCACCAACGCTCATCCATCTCTAAAGGGCGGGCGGCGAGAGGACGGGGCCAGACTCTTCCCAGCGACAGGACAAGGGGCGCCGGGCGCAAACTGGAACACGGGAAATTCCATCTCGACACCAGGCAAAACTTTACTTTGAGGGTGACGGAGCACTGGAAGAGACTGTCTCCTTTTCTGGAGACGTTCCAACCCTGCCTGGACCTGCCCTGCTTTGGCACGGGGTTGGATGAGATGTTCTCCGAAGGTCTCGTCCAACCCTGAGCATTCTGTGACTCCCCACGCAACGAGGCCTTTTCTCGGGTTCGTTAACAGTTCTCGGGTGGGTTTTCCCCTCCCCAAACCTTGAATAAGTGACGACGGGCACCAGGAGCTACGGATCCAAGGCTGCACCCCCCGCAGATGGCTTCTGTCCCCAGAGCCAAACTGGGGAGTTCGCTGGAGCAAACTCCATCCTCTCGTTTGTGGGGACCCGGGACCTCAGCAGGAGGTAGATGCCACCAGGACGACCTGAGAGGAGCAGCGCCATCGTCATCCTGAGCCGAAAGGCTCCGGTCAACGCGGACCGTCCCATCTTCTCCCCGGTTGCGCTGGAGGAGCATCTCCGCCACGCGGCTGCTCTTGCCGCCGGTCCCCCAGGCTGGTTTTGGGGAGGTGTTCCCCAGCGCAGAGCGGGAGAAGAGGCTCTTTAGGAAGGGAAGGAGAGGAGCAGAAGGCAGGAGGAGAGGCAGCGACCTGCTGCAAGAAGCCCCCCTAAAATATTTGCCCTGCAGGGAAGCGAAGGCGACCTTCTTCCTCTCCCTCCTGGAGCTACGGGAGACGCTCCTCAAAAGCCGCCGTTGACGAAGAAGCTCGCCGTAAGGAGAAGCACTCTGGAACTGGAACACCTTTCTGGTTTTCCCATCGCACGAGGAGATTCAAGACATCCATCGGAAAAGTCTTCGGGCAAAACCTGCTCTGGCTCAGCCCTGCGTGACCCCAACGAACCGTTTCGGGAGGCAAAAGGGGATGAGGACGGCGCTCGGAGGCGGCGGGGGAGAGTCCGCCGTGCTGCCAGCCAGCACCTCGCGTCCTTCTGCTGCTGTTTTGGGGCTTCTCGCCCAGGATGTTGATATTTCTCCTTACAGAAAACCCTTCGGGACCTACTGGGATTAAGGCTCTCTCCTACTCTGACCACAACCCCCGTACCGGTGGAACCAAACACCAGGATTGCCCGGAATAGAAATAAAATTCCCCGGAGATGAAGCTCACCTTTCAGATCTAAGCAGTCTATCCTGGGAGCCAGATCTTTGAATTCCTGCAAAAGAAAAAACAGCGTTTCATACCGGGGAGGAGACGGAGGAAAGGTGGTGGTGGTGATGGGGGGGGAACGGGGAGCGTTAGAATAACGAGGTTAAGGCGACAAATTGGGCAAACCCTCCCCGGAATGACGAGAGGTTACGGGAACTCTGGAAATCAAAGCTTTAACCATCGTGCTCCAGCGCGCTGCTCTCCAACCCGAGGATTTAAACGGGATTTTTTATTCCCCTGGCGCCAGCAGGGAAGACCACAGCCTTCGTCGCCGTCTCCCTCCGGGCTCCCCTCCCACAGAATTCACAGAATGGTCAGGGTTGGAAGGGAGCTCTGGAGATCATCTAATCCAACCCCCCTTCCAGAGCAGGGTCACCTACAGCACGTTACACAGGACAGCGTCCAGGCGGGTTTGGAATGTCTCCGTTCAAGTTTATGCCCATTACCCCTCGTCCTATCACTGGGTGCCACTGAAAAAAGACTGCTCCCATCCCCCTGGCATCCTCCCATTAAGTATTTGTATGTATTAATAAGATCCCCCCTCAATCTTCTTTTCTCTAGACTAAAGAGACCCAAGTCCCTCAGCCTTTCCTCATAAGAAAGGTGCTCCAGTCCCCTAATCATCTTTGTTGCCCTTTGCTGGACCCTCTCCAGCAGTTCCCTGTCTTTCTTGAACTGGGGAGCCCAGAACTGGACACAGTACTCCAGATGCGGTCTCACCAGGGCAGAGTAGAGGGGGAGGATGACCTCCCTCGACCTGCTGGCCACACTCTTCTTGATGCACCCCAGGATGCCATTCGCCTTCTTGGCCGCCAGGGCACATTGCTGGCTCATGGTCATCCTGTTGTCCACCAGGACTCCCAGGTCCCTCTCCACAGAGCTGCTCTCCAGGAGGTCAGCCCCAACCTGTACTGGTGCATGGGGTTATTCCTCCCCAGATGCAGCACCCTACACTTACCCTTGTCCCCTCGCCGCCTGCGCCCATTTCCATTTAAAATAACATCCCGCTGCAAACAAACCCCTCCGGGTCTCGTGCCCCGAGGTGGCGGGGAAGGAGGACAACGGGGACCTCCTTCCCAGCAGCCCGAGGAGAGGGACACGGCTTCAGCGGGGGAAAACCAGTGGCCGGCGGCGCTTAAAATGACATCTAATACGGTGTTAGCGAGCTGCTTCGCTTTCGCTCTCCGCAACAGGTTTCGGCGGTCCAGAAATCCACCCGGGCGGTTAAAACGGGGGTCTCCGCTGCTGCCCGAGAGGCCAGCGACCGTGAAAGTCGGCGGCCAGCGGCGTAATAAAGAGGTGCGTTCGCTCTCTACCTGTATCTGCTTCAGCACTTTGGGAATCTGCTTGCAGTTCAGCTTCTGGCAGGCTTGCCTGTAAGCCGTCACGATTTCATCCACCGTCACGTTCTGGGCTGAAAAGGTACAGGGTGAGAATTGAGGTTACGTCGGGATTTGCGGGAATCCCGCACGGCCACGCACACGCGCGTGTGTGTGTGTGTCCCCTCCCTCCCACCACCCCGCGGCTCTCCGTTGGGATTTACACCCCGGCAGAGGAGATTACAAGGATTAAGGATGTTTCACAGGCGAGGGAATGATGGAAAAGCCCAGCAAGGCTTGCTCGAACACGTCTACGGGAGCGAGCCCCGTCTTGCTCGGGTAGAAAAAGGGCAGGAGAAGCGCAGTCGGTACCTCCCGCCTCCTCCAGCCGCGCTTTCTCCGCTCTTTTGGGAGCGGAAAAGCTTTCGGAAAGAGTCAAAGATGACAAACCCCGACCCCTCTCAGCAGGCTGCTGCGGCGGTGATTGAACGGCGCTGTCAAATACGCTCCTGGGGCTTTAAATTTCACTTAATTTGGGTTGGTTTTTTGGTTTTTTTTGGTTTTTTTTTTCCACTCGATCGCTTTTGCGATGGCCGGGCAGGACGCATCCACCCCCACCTATAACCCCAGATTTTCCCCTAAGCGGATTCCGGAGACAGCCGGAGCGGCGCGCAGAGGACTCCGGGGCTCAGCCCCAAGTCAACCAGACACCGGTTCAACGCTCCCGGAGTTGTCAACCTCCGGTAAACGCATCCTCGAAATTGGGCTCCCGGTTCGGAAGAGGCGGGATGGATTTGTTCCGCCGTCGTCGCCGCCCAAGCGGCTCGGCTCCAAGCGGTATTTACTCACCGCTTCTGCCTCCCCTGAATCACGGGCGATGCCGCCTCTCCGGATGCCGGAGAAGCCGAGAGGGGCGGCGGGATCATTAGCCACGTGAGGCAACGCTCACCTCCGCTTCTGGCGTGATTTCGGTGCGGCGATGAGCCCCGGCAAACGCTAACGCCGTCCCCGGCCAGAAGACGGTCTGGAGAAACCAGATTCTCCAGGAACCTCATCTGCCTGGTTGCACGGAGCAAAAACCGCCCCCCGCTTCCATCCCCGAGGGTTACGACATCGATAAAAACCCCAAACACTCTACCGGCTGCAAAAAAAAAAACACCAAAACCCCACAACAAAAAGACTGTTTTAAGTTTCTCCCCCGTTCGCAACGAACCCGTCGGGCGCCTGAGGCGGCAACGGCGACACACGGCAGAGGCGACAAGGAACAGTCGGCCGAGCAAAGCGCCGACGGTTTAAATACGCCCCAACCGAGGGCTTAATTAGGGGAGACCTAAAAAGGGCTTTCGCGCCCCGAAAGCCCCACGCGGCAGAAAGCTCCTCCGAAGCGGCGCGGGGATGCACTGGGTTGCCGATTCCCCCGGCGCCAGGAATTAAAAATCCGCCGAGGCCGAGCGAGCCCCGCGTCTGGGGGGATTAAAAAAAAATAAAAATAAAAAGAGAAATATTTCGGTTAGCCAAAGGATCAGCGGCGCAGCGCGACGCTTCCGATCCCATCTGCCGCGCGATGGTTTTCCTCACGAAAAGAAAGAAATCAAGCGTGATTTTCGGGAAAGCGAGGAGGGTAAAGGAGAGTCGCCGCCGTCCCAATGCCGACGAGCATCCCGGCAGCGCAAGCGAACCCAGCGCCTGCGAACACGGCTGCGGAAGAGCTGAAGGCTTTCTCTCCAAATCTGAGCTCGAGCACGCTTCGTTAAATCCAGTTTTTATTAGTTCCCGGCAGTGAAATGCTTCGTTCTGCCCTCTCCCGGGTGGAAATCCTAAATTGGACCAACCCTCGTTGCCGGAGGATGGGGATTTGCTTCCGATTCCTTCTGCGCGCATCCCGGCACACCTCGGCATCCTCCTGCTCAGCGAGACTCGCTGAAGTCCAGCGAGAAGACCTCAGAGGTCCCGTGGTCCTCCCGCGCTCCTTCCCAACCTTCCGACGGCCCTTCTTCCCCCAGAGACGGGCGCCGAGAAGTTCCCCGTCCCGAGAGAGTTGCGCCGGCGCTGCGGTCCACGACTCCTCGTTGCCGAAGAACATCCCGGGATGATTTCATCCCTCCGCGGTTAAACGCTCCCGAGCAGATCCAGAACATCTCACCTACGACTTTCAGGTCTCCTCCGGGCTTCACCCCCAGCGTTGACTCTGTTCCCACCTCCCAGCTCAGCATCCGGAGTTGCCGCACTGGAAAACACCCCAAATTCACCCCCCGGAGTCGCAACCGCTCACACAAGACCAAGACCACCAGTGAGAGCGGCGCCCGCTCCATACATCCCCGTAACCGGCAATCCCTCCGGCATTTCTGGCTCGAGAGCCCCCAGCCGGTGCAGAAGCCTTCCACGGCGTCTCCGGATCATCCCGGTGGGGGGCTCTCGGTAGGAGCAGTTGATTTGGAGTCGGATTTGGTGCGGGTTTTGCTCTTGAGAAGCCTTTAAAGAGGTTAAACGCCAACACCGAGCAGCGGCGGTTCTTCGCTCCCGGGCTGCCTTCGCTCTTCCAAAACTCAAGATCCACGAAAAACCATCGCATTTTGACCCCCAACGATGCATCCTTAGGACCAAGACCCTCGGAGGGAATTTCCTCGCCGGATACAAGGGGGTTTTAATCAAAAAGGATCTTCGCGCTGGTTTTTCCAGCGTCCCTTCCCCACTCCCCCTCCGCAAACAGCCGCTCATTTGCGGTAACGAAGCCCGGCGAGCTCAACATTAATATTTCCTGTTTCAGCTCCGTCCTGCGGCTCACCGGCAAATATTTACGGTGTCTCTGACATCCACCTTCGAAAAAAACATTTGACATTTCTGGGAAAAGCCTTTTTTTTTTTTTTTTTGTCAGCAGAGCGGGACGGTGGGGGAGGGCTGAAGCTGATCCCGTGGCGCGGCACGTGTTTTTCAGCGGTTCCGGAGGCGGGAGAAGGGCTTTAATGCCGCCGACATCGTCCGTAAAACAAAGCAGAGCTCTTTCTGCCAACGGATTTGATAAAATACATATTTACCCATGGTCAGGCGGGTGAGTGGAGTGAGCGAAGCGCGGCTGACTCCGGGCTCGGGCGGAATTACCCGTGGCTTTGGATATTTGGTTTTTGGAAGAGCAGGCTGGAGCCGGCACAGGTTTCCACCCGGAGCATCCCCGACGGCATCCCGGATCCCTCCTGGTCCTTAAAAAGTCTGTCCCAAAAATCATCACGTTAAAGGACAACACCAGAGCTCATCTCACAGTGCTTCAAGTTTCCCCCCCTGGAAACCAGCGGTCGTGCGAGACTTCAACAAAGACTTCAACGAAGACTTCAACGAAGACTTCAACTCCTTCTCCCTAACAAAGAACTAAGATTTATTACCCAACCGACGGTCCCACTCACGTTCTGACCCCCTCTGTCATGTTAAACTCCTGCCCTAATATCCCCAAACAGAGTTAACTACCTTATTAATTAATCTCTTTATTATTGCTCAGCGGATTAAGATCCGAAGAGCGATAAGGAGAGTATTTCCCAACCTCCTGTGTACCTCAATTGAGATTCATCCCATAATTTTCTACTAATTTGCGCCCACGGCTTCACCGGGAGCTGCTCCAGCGAGGGCACGGCCACTGGGAAACACAAACCGTGGCCGCTCGGCCCACGAGGCACCGGCAGAAAGCCTGGAAAAAAAAATAAGGAAAAAAAAAACCCCAAACCAACCCAGAAATGGTCACGGATAAAGTTTAAAACGCAAATAACGCTTCTTCCGGCGAAAGATGACAACGGCCTCGTGCCGCGCTCCTTCTCCCCATCACCAAAAGCACCGTCGAGGCGTGTTTTGCACTTAACTACTGTGTTTTGCCCCAAATTATGCACGGGAACGCGGCACCGAGGAGGGAGTGGGTCTAAACCCATCAAAGCCCGGCGTTTCCGTGCCTCCGAACCACTCTGCCCGCAGCGGGTTCGCCTTCTCCTGCTCCTCTCTGTCCGTGTCCGAGCCTGGGATGACGCGACGCCAAAGCAAACGGGTCGTTATTTATTAACGAGGCGGTGTTAGCCGCCGGCTGCGGCCTTGCTCGTCTTCCCAGCCTCCGCGCCGGGGGGGGGAGAGAAACGGATTTTTCACAGGAGAGCTCCGTTTTGATCCCCGCGTTCGCCTCCAGCCCGCGTCCCGGGAGGCGGAGTGCGCGGAAAATCATACAACCGTTTCGGTTGGAAAGGACCTTGAAGATCATCCAGTTCCAACCCCCTGCCATAGGCCTCCCACCAGCCCAGGTTGCCCAAGGCCATGTCCAGCCTGGCCTTGAACACCTCCAGGGATGGGGCCTCCACGACTTCTCTGGGCAACCTCTTCCGGGGCCTTACAACCCTCAAAGTGAAAAACTTCTTCCTAATGTTTACTCTAAACCTGCCCTCTTCCAGTTTGAAGCCATTCCCCCTCGCCTATCGCTACATTCCCCAGTAAAAAGTCCCTCCCCAGCTCTCCTGGAGCCCCTTTAGGTACTGGAAGGCCACAATAAGATCTCCCCGGAGCCTCCTCTTCTCCAGGCTGATCACCCCCAGCTCTCTCAGCCTCTCCTCGGAGGAGAGGTGCTCCAGCCCTCGGATCATCCTCGTGGTCCTCCTCTGGACACGCTCCAGCAGGTCCATGTCCTTACGTTGGGGACTCCAGAGCTGGACGCAGTACTCCAGGTGAGGTCTCACCAGAGTGGGGTAGAGGGGCAGAATCCCCTCCCTCACTCCTAATGTTTAATCTAAACCTGCCCTCTTCCAGTTTATAGCCATTCCCCCTCGTCCTATCGCTACATTCCCCAGTAAAAAGTCCCTCCCCAGCTCTCCTGGAGCCCCTTTAGGTACTGGAAGGCCACAATAAGGTCTCCCCGGAGCCTTCTCTTCTCCAGGCTGATCACCCCCAGCTCTCTCAGCCTCTCCTCGGAGGAGAGGTGCTCCAGCCCTCGGATCATCCTCGTGGTCCTCCTCTGGACACGCTCCAGCAGGTCCATGTCCTTACGTTGGGGACTCCAGAGCTGGACGCAGTACTCCAGGTGAGGTCTCACCAGAGTGGGGTAGAGGGGCAGAATCCCCTCCCTCACCCTGCTGGCCACACTTCTGACACAGCCCAGGATACGGTTGGCCTTCTGGGCTGCAATCTCACATTGCCGGCTCGTGTTGATCTTCTCGTCAATCAGCACCCCCAGGTCCTTCTCCTCAGGGCTGCTCTCCAGCCATTCTCCACCCAGCCTGGATTTGTGCTTGGGATTGCCCCGTCCCGGATGTAGGACCTTGCGCTTGGCCTTCTTGAACTTCACGAGGTTGGCACAGGCCCACCTCTCCAGCCTGTCCAGGTCCCTCTGGATGGCATCTCTCCCCTCCAGCGTGTCCACCTCGCCAAACAGCTTGGTATCATCGGCAAACTCGCTGAGGGTGCATTTGACCCCACCGTCCATGTCGCCGACAAAGATGTTGAAGAGTACAGGTCCCAGTACCGACCCCTGAGGAACGTCACTCATCACTGGTCTCCACTTGGACATGGAGCCGTTGATACTCTTTGAGTGCGACCGTCCAACCAGTTCTTTATCCACCGAGTAGTCCATCTGTGGAATCCATGTCTCTTCAATTTAGAGACCAGGATATCGCGTGGGACGGTGTCAAACGCTTCGCACAAGTCCAGGTAGATGACATCAGTTGATTAAGGCGAAAGCCGATGTTGTCAGCCCCATCCTGGCGCCGCTCGAGGTGTACGTCCCCCAAATCCCACCAGGCGAGGAAAAAGGCGGTGACTTTAACGTGATCTAATCAAGCGATTTACCTCCATCCCTGGTGTCATGGAATGGGATGTCTCACTCTTTGCCTCCGCTCGGGAGCGTCCTTCTGCCGCTTCTGCCAGGCCAAGGCTCCGCGGCCCCTCTTCCCCCCCAAAAAGGGGAACAGCAGCTGGAAGAAAATTCCTTTCTTCCTTAGGGAAGCGTAAAAACATCGCAGGAGAGACGTTCGCCAGCGCTCGGGCGGCTCCTCCGCTCTCGGGCCGGTGGCAGGAGGGGAAGACCACAGCTCCTCTC